TCAAAAAGTATTAATATCTTACTATAAAATCCTAATTTATGGTCTTTGTTTCCTATAATGATTAGTGCAAGGGTGAGATTACCTAGGCCTCCTTGTGTACCACACAAATATAGCAATAATAAGCTTTTGAAGGTTTAATGTATAGTTAGTCTAGGGGTGTATACATAAACAGTGAAAGCATAACCTTCATATAGGGTTTGCAATACTGACAGTCTGGGTCATGGGCGTAGTGCAGACATGCGGTCAGGTACTTTTCCATTGTCAGAATATATTGAAAACACTAAGACATTGCAAATATTAAAAAACCATATTGCTTCCTGTAACTGCAAGGATGTGGCTTGTACGTATTAACTGAGTATCAAAAGTCTAACCACAAAAGCTAAATGTTATATGCTTATCAAAAAAATGAGTTTAACACGTTCTTTAGATGGCCTCTTCCCATAATTTGGCTCCTTTTGTAATTATTATATTATTTATTAATCCTCTTCTGGGTCTGCAAAATGCTTTCAATTTACAAATACAACTATAATACAGTAGTTTAGTAGATTAGAAATATTAAGGGCGCCTTGAACCTAAAAAGTTTGGGAACCACTGGGTTAGTAAGGTATATCTTTCAACTTCCAGAGTTCTGACGTATACCATATTTTATTATTGCCAAATTATGGATGATTTATAATGCTTAATCCCTTAATTGCTGATCACCAAATAAACTCTTAATAATTTTATATGATTATTATTATTTTTTTTATTCTTGATTTTTGCCACAGGCAGGTTCAAGATAATCATAGCATGTGATACAAGCATGCCAAACTTGCAGCTCACAATGAATATATTTGTGGCCCGCATGCCCTGGGGACGCTTTGTACTATGGCTGCGACAAGCCACAAGACAGGAAACACATTTACTGTCTGATTCCTGTCTTCCCTCCCATGGCCACAAGAGAGCGGAGTGTCTGTCTGTCTGCAAAACAGGCCAGTCACTTCCCCTCCCCTCCTACTTGCAGTGCCAGCCACTCCCTGTTCCTGCCTGCTCGCAGTGCCAGCCACTCCGCGTTCCTTTCTGCTCGTAGTGCCAGAGGAGCGTGTGGCCTGCTTACAGAGAAGAGCTGGAACTGGAGGACAGGCGGCTCATCTTAAGGTAGGAGAAGAGGGGCTTGGCGGACCTTCCTGTGTAGTGTGTTAAATTGGAGAGGAGGGAAGCAGTGTATTAATTTGGGGGAGGGAGTGGACAGTGTGTTAAATTGGGGAGATGCAGGCATTGTATTAATTTGAGGGAGGAGGGGGCAGTGTATTATTATTATTATTATTCTTTATAAAGCGCCAACAAATTCCGTAGCGCTGTACAATGGGTGGACTAACAAACATGTATGTGTAACCAGACGAGTTAGACGCACAGGAACAGAGGGCCCTGCTCAATGAGTTTACATGCTGGAGAGAGTGAGGTATAGTGACACAAAAAGTAAGGGAAGGGTAGAAAAGTAGGTTGCTAGAATAGTGTTCATTGAGGGTTTAGTGTTTTGTTTTCATGACAGTTTCAGGAGAGGAATCCGGGTGCGGGGATGGAAAGCTGTTCACAGTTTAATTGACATGCTTTCCTAAAGAAGTAGGTTTTCAAAGATTTTTTGAAGGTGTGGAGATTGGGTGACAGTCTAACAGAGGGGGAGAGGGCGTTCCATAGTAACAGTGCAGCCCTAGATAAGTCTTCAAGGTGGGCATCAGAGGTAGGAGTACGGACAGAGGTTAGACATAGGTCTGCAGCTGAGCGTAGGGGCCTAGATGGGACATGTTTGTGTATTAGTGAGAATAGGTAGGTCGGAGCAGCATTGTGTAGAGATTTGTAACAAGTATCAGGATCTTAAATTGAGTCCTGTATAGGGATGCACCGAAATTTCGGGTCAAATTTGCCGAAATAAAAAAAATATATAGATTTTTACATTTTTTTTTAAATATTTTTTTTTTTTGTAGTAAATAGTTTAACAGACATTCTTACACTATGGGACAAGGGAGGGGGGAGAACACTAAAAATCATTTAGGGAAAAAAGTTGTTTTTTAGTTTCGGTTTTCAGCCAAGGGCATTCTGAATTTTCGGTTTCGGCCCAGAATTTTCATTTCGGTGCATCCCTAGTCCTGTATCTTCTGGGAAGCCAATGTAGAGACAAGGGGGTCCAGCAACATACCTGGACTGCAGTGTCTTTGAGACTCTGTCTCTCCCTCTACTGGCATCGACTGAGGGGGTAACCTATGCTATCTACAACAGTTTATTTCGTTGAGCCTCTCTTATTGTGTAGTAGTTGTCTATCACCTTATAGAAATCTTTCATAACTTGCTGACAGCTCTGTGATTTTAAGGCATGTTTTGACACCCCTATGTTTAACCCAATTCTTTTTATTTTTATTTTCTTTTTATAAGCCTCAGCCTCATTTAATTCAGTATGATTATCAATACCATGCACGATGACCGAGTGGTTTCTAACTTAAGTAACTCTCATGTCTATGTGTCTCTTACTACTTACTCTTACTACTTACTACTGTGATAGGATCTGAACTAGGCCCAAAATTTAGTAGGCCTAAAATCTCCACTTGGTATATACAGGCACATGCATCTGTTAATTAGTTACACGTAGCTAGGAAACCGTCATCTGATGTACTGAGCATATGCTAGATTTGAAAAACCACATTCCATTCTCTCTCAGTGCCATACTGCCTATCCATATACGGTAATGACGTAAATACTGTCTGATTGGTGTAAGGATATAGGAGGGGGATGCATACTGTATATAATGCCTGTACTGTACGTTCTTGGTGCTCAGACTTTGGACACTAGTTGACTGAGACCCGATCGGTGAAAATGAATCTCTTTGCTTCCTGAACTGACCTGCGTCCGGACTGTGTGTGGCTCGTCCAGTGTTCTCCTATAACACTACCACTTACTACAAGCTTATTGTTTAGACATTTTAGATCTCTTGTTTACTGTTATCTTTACAAATTTGTGCTGAAACACAAATACCATGATTTTATTTTAGTTTGTTGATAAAAGCTTGTGATAGTGAGGAATTTTCTGTCAGGAATTTTCCCCTTGCCATGGTCTTTTGTATCAATTTGCAACTCTCTGTATTTCTCCTTGTCCCCAAACCAGTTGGCGAGTAGCCCCAATGAACGATACAAGACAAGGTTCAAAGTGACTTCTGAGCATTTAATGAGCCGTGTAACAAGTTCAAGAAGAAATGGGTGGTTTTACAAGCATTATCCAATCCTAACAAAATCTATCTATCTTATCTTAACATTCTAAAGTTCTAAATGACACATTACTATGCAGTTTATGATCAAAGGGAGAAAAACAGGAAATAAGGCCAGCAGCAGAAACATACAGGATATAACACTAACACTTGTTCTAGCACACTGTGTTCTATAGCTCTTTTCTAGGGGTATATTCACTAAGCATTGGATATAGATAAGTATATAATTTCAAATAGCTGACATGCTCCAAGTTAGCCAATTTTAAACAGACAGAGCATCCGGTCAGCTTGAGCCTTGGGTCAGTATGGGCAAAATGTATTATTCCCAACAGCTTGTTTCTGCTGTCGTGGCATTGCAGGCATCTTTGTATTACTCTGCACAGCAAAAATAAAAAATATAAATACATTTTAAAAAGCTATATTTCGGGGGCGTGGCCAGCTGTCTAACGAGGAAGATGCGTTCTCGTGCAGCACCGATATAGAGACTCAAAATAGAGACCAGAAACCCGCAAACGGGACCCTCCAAATGCAACAAATACAGCCCCCACACAGTAACGGACATGAGGCGAAAAAACAAGAAATTCCGTCTTCCGGAACCGCTTAAAACACCCGACATTTGGCTTTCCTTTACGAGGCCTAATCTGGCGGCATTAGCCAAAATGGTGCCCGCCGAACCCAGCGAGGAGGAAGCCTCGGATGACTCCAAGGAGGGCAGAGATAGCCCCACCTCATCTCAGGCAGAAGACAGAGCCCAGTTTCAGGCATCTGAATTGGAGGAAGACTCATCCCCAGTCACAAAGAGGGATATTAGAGATCTCCTAGAGGAAATGAGGGGTGTGTGGAGGGCAGACTTGCAGACCATAAGGAAGGAGATGGGGGTCATCCAGAAGAGGCTCACCGAAGTTGAAGCCAGAGAAAGTGCCAGAGATGCCCAGCAACAGATCTCCAGTGACGCTGTGCATGATCTACGCTCACAGGTCCAGCAGCTCAAGAGGACGGTCACAACGCTGGAGGTCCACCACAGAAGGCAAAACATTCGCATCAGAGGCATACCAGAGACCATTGGGGAAGAAGCCCTGTTGAGGTACATATCCCGCCTTATCACCAGAATGGAAATAAGGTTACACACCGAGCCAGACAAAATAGTAACCACATTTAGAATACGCAAAGCCGCCACAGCACCAGCAGAATCCCCAAGAGACGTCATAGCTGTCACGAAAGATATACAAACCCGCTCAGCGATCATGGCCCGCTTCCGATAAATAGGAAGCGTTCAATTCGAAGGCAATACAGTGTCCCTCTATGGAGACCTCCCGTTCGCAGCCATAGTGGAGCGGAGACAACTAGCACTAGTGGCTAAACATTTGAGAGCGGAGGCAGTCAAATACCGGTGGGGGGCAGATGGATCCCTAGCAGCAATGAAGGGAGACCGGACATTCACACTCACCTCTGCGGACGACCAGGCGCAATTTATCCACCAGCTGAGAAAGCAAGAGGCGGAAAACAACCCAGAGAAGCCGACACTTGGAAGCAAAGACACACACAGAGCAAACCAGGGCCCACAAAGAGTCACCACACTTCAGCATCACTGAGGAGACAAACCCTCACCTGAGCGGCTTACCACAGCATTCACTCAGAGGACCACTAAATCCCAGGTGACGGCGAGTATATACGCAGCACCACACTGATAGGGAAAACCATCAACCAAGTTATATGCCCCAGAAATCCAATTCCAGATGTTATACCATTTTAGCTAAAGCTAGAGACTTTCCTCTCCCTAATGTTTAGCTTACAGAGAGCATAATATTGGAGACCCCACAAACACCCATAAAAATGGGACTGTCTGCATTAATACAGGCCTGAGACGAGCCGTAACAAGGGGTCACAAGGGACCTGAGGTTACAGAGTAACCAACAATAGATGCTTTACCAATGATGCCACGGACTAACTGTTACAGAAACGTTGTTTTGTTGCTTTTTACATTTCCCATACTATGACACTGTTGTATTTTGAGTACTAAACCTCTAATAAAATACAAATTATATATATAAAAAAAATCTGTGTTTCAATTAAATAATTACAGCTGCTCGAGCTTGATGCAGATTGGCTGACGGCAACTTGCGGGAGCTCCCAGGGTGATTTAAAAAGCAGAACACACAGGGGCGTAGCTGACCAGCATACAGTCCAGACGCGTGAATGTGGAGCTCGGTCTGGGAAATAGAACAAATAACACCATAACGGGTGACCGGATTACAAAACAGGAGCCAAAAGCACGCTCCCACCCGAGAGACTACAATGGGGCGAAAAAATGAAAAATTCCGCCCACCAGAGGCATACACTGCTGACACTAACCAAAATGGCGCCGGAGCCACACAGCGAAGAGGAGGCCTCGGAGGACTCTCAGGATAACGAAAAGAGCCTCACCTCGGCCCAAGCGGAGGCCTACCGGGATTCTGAGTCGGAGGAAGACTCATCTCCGGTGACCAAGAGAGACGTCAGGGACTTACTGCAGGAGATGAGGAAGGTCTGGAAAGCAGACATTAAAGAAACCCGAAAGGAGATAGAGGCCCTCCAGACACGAATCAAGGATGTGGAAGGCAGAGAGGAAACTAGGGACCACACTCAAGTTACCCAAGATCACATACAAAACCTCACACAACAGGTCCAAAGTCTCACCAGAACCGGCACGGCACTGGAAGCGAGACACAGGAAGCGAAATGTCCACCTCAGAGACATCCAGGAAACAGTTGGAGGGGACGACCTACTGCCATATGCGCAGAGAATGATGGCCAACATAGGCGTTAAAGGCGGCAAGGACCAAGGCATACTACTTACCGCATTCCAAGTTTGGAAGGCAGCTCCAGACGACGCACCCAGAGACACCATAGTCGTAACAAGGGATGTAGCAGTGCGAACGGCAATACTGTCACGCTCCAGGGAACTCAATACTGTACACTTCGAGGGGCATAATGTGACAATCTACGGGGACATCCCGTTTGCTGCACTGATGAGGTGGAGACAACTCGCACCAATAGCAAAACAGCTCCGAGAGGCAATGATCCGCTACAGATGGGGGACTGACGGCTCATTGCAAGTCCTGAAGGGAGACCAGTCACTCACTCTCGCCTCGGCAGAGGATCGAGCCCCGTTCATCCAGCAACTGAACCTGTCCACCAGAGACGCTACCCAGACTGGCTGCAAGGAACATAGAGGCCAGCAGTTGCCCAGAAGGGGACCTGCGGCGGCAAAGCCAAAAAAGAAGCCTACCTGATAACCCCCATGACCACATAGCCATCTAAAAGCTCTAACTCTACACCATTACCCACTCGCTACTGGCTCCCTTCCCCACTCCAGCCGCCACCTGGAAAACGCAGCTAGATATCTAACACCCCACACTATATAAACCCATAAGCCTTCAATACGCGGCACTCACCAACAGGCGCACTAGGCTGCTTGCTCAGAAGTAGTTAATATGTAGTATTATTAAGTAGTTAATAACAGCTACAGGCTTTATGTTATATTCCCCTCTTTTCTGTGATTAGTTTACGTTCATCAGTTATAGACCTTTTATTTATCACTTAGCTACCACTTAGGGATACCTAGTGAAGACTGATACACCAATGTTACATTAACTCAGGAACAGCTTACACTTACCTAGGATACCTGTCACCACAGGTCCCTCCAATATGTCGCACCTCATACTGCACTTACAGATGTGATAATGTGTTGACTCATATATGATGTTGTTGATTCATCGTCTTATTACCTTACTATTCTAATACCGTGACAAAGTTGTATTTTTTGTGTGCAAAACCCAATAAAAAAAAAATTGGAAAAAAAAAGGAAAACACTTACCTTAGAGACTTAGACACCACGAGGAAAGGAACTTTTCACCTATTTTTCCCCAATGTAGTTCATGCTATATAAACGAAACGCGTAGGGCTGTTTACAGTGTGTTCGAATTTTCTATATCATTTATTTACTTTTATGTGCATTTTTTGATTTGGATTATTTTGTGCCTTAAGAAGAGTTTCTCCTTGTATATTGTAGACATAGCTGGGATTCTCTTTCTTCCTGTCACAATGATCAATTTTGATGTGCCTGATTACTGTTTTTATCTTGTAAGTGTAACTTGTATTAAACATTTTAATTGTGATTGGAAGCCCTGCACTATTATTTTTTCCTTTCCTTAAGTATGTCTGGAATCTGTCACAAAGAAAATCTTCAGTTATATTGATATACCTTCAATCAATTTGGGTGTGAGTGAATTTCATTGTTTTTCTGCTACATTTCCTTGTTTTGTAGATAACCCTTTTTGGGTATTTTTGCATATTTCAATTCATGCACTTTATATTTTTGGGATGGTTTTAAGTTCCCTTGTAGTCTCTGTAACAGGTCACCTGGCACCCCGACTGGGTACCTCCGTTGATGGATGCTCCTAGTGCTTCCCGAGGGCTCCAAGCACTCCCCTTGACACCATAAGCACTGCAGACCCCACAAACCACCGCAGCTTGGTTGGGGTCTCGCCGTCTCCTACCCACCCTGGACCTACGACAAGGCTCCAGGCTCCAGTGGGTGAACCTCTCTTCCTTCAGAGAGCGAAGCAGGAACAAGCTCTTAAAAGAGCTTAGTGATTATAGCCAGGGGAGTATACAGCGTATAGCAATTCCCAGTGTAGATGCAGCCTTTTCCCCCACACATGAGACGAGACTCTATGTTGAGGGTAAAACAGGAACTCTGCAGTCTGAGGGTTTATTGTCTCTTATATACAGGTTTTCCCACAAGGTTACCATCGTCGTGGACCTTGTGGAACACAGGATACAAAGTTACAAAACCAATCAGGACAGACTTGTACAGTTAGACACTCCCAGCTAATGTACACAAACCCTACCCTCTGCCTGTGATACAATGAACAAACACAATGGGCTAACTTAATTGCTCACAGGCAGAAAACACACATTTTTCCCAAAACACAGAAAACATCCCAAAACACCACATTATACATCCCTGGATAGCCCTGATCTGGGTGAACAACATATCCAAAAATCACCCAGATCAGAGCAGAGGTTCAAAAGCTTTCTGGAAGTCTCTTTTGACCGACCGCAAGCATGGTTTTCATGCCCAAAATAGTTCCACAGATTTAGGCTGTGCGGCCGGTCTATCTTCTCCTCTATCCTGGAGATAATCGGCTTAAGTGGCTGTGGTAACTTAATTATCTCCAGTAACAGGAACTATCTCTAAGTCAAAAACTGTTACAAAAAGTAACAGTCTCTTTATTAACAATTCACTAGTTAAAGAAGAATAAACCAGATACCCACTTCAGCATTTTATTATTTTATACCACAAGATTAGTCACATGCACTTGTTTTTGTTATGGTGACATCAAAACATATTTGTCATAGCCTGCTCTAGATTGATAGAGAGTAACAGTTGAGGATAATAAAAAAATCCATCTCTCCTTAATGAGAGGCTGGAGATTCTCTCTCACTCACTCATACACGCCAGAATGCTGAATATTATCTGCTGTTGGGACTCCGTTTATATTGAGATTTTAATTGTATTCTGTGACATTAACATCTGTGCAGTATATCTATTGAAAACATGAATACATGACCTGTGTGTTGAAACAACAGTCAGACAATATCAAAAATGTGTTTACTCAAACTTCTAAGGGCAAATGAGTATCTTCCATATTAGGAGAATGTGGTTAGACCTGTTCTGAAAAGAGCCGGATCACGGTTGCTTGGGGCCCTAGGCAAGATACCCTAGTATCTGTTATGTAATTGTGTTGTGTGTGGTTGAGTGGTTATTCTTTTGTCTTTCTTCCTGCTTAACTTTTGGCATGTGGGAGCTGTTTTCCTTGGTGGTCCAGCTGAGGGCACTTTGGAGTAAATCTTTGGTGATTCTGTAGACCAAGCATGTCAAATTTGCAGCATGCGACTCACAATTAATATATTTGCAGCACGCTTGCCCTGGGGCCGCTTTGTGATGTGGCTGCTACCAGCATGAAAGATATTTCCTCTTTGATTATTGTCTTCCCTCCCATGGCCACTAGAGCGCAGATTGTCTGTCTGTCTGCAGAGCATGGCAGCCACGCACTCCACTTGACACCATAAGCACTGCAGACCCCACAAACCACCGCAGCTTGGTTGGGGTCTCGCCGTCTCCTACCCACCCTGGACCTACGACAAGGCTCCAGGCTCCAGTGGGTGAACCTCTCTTCCTTCAGAGAGCGAAGCAGGAACAAGCTCTTAAAAGAGCTTAGTGATTATAGCCAGGGGAGTATACAGCGTATAGCAATTCCCAGTGTAGATGCAGCCTTTTCCCCCACACATGAGACGAGGCTCAATGTTGAGGGTAAAACAGGAACTCTGCAAAGGGACACTATGGTCACCAGAACAACTGCAGCTTATTGAATTTGTTCTGGTGAGTAGACTCATTACCTTCAGGCTTTTTGCTGTAAACACTGTCAGAGAAAATGCAGTGTTTACATTACAGCCTAGTAATAACTTCACTGGCCACTCCTCAGATGGCTGTTAGAGATCCTTCCTGGGTCATGGCTGCCTAAAATGCATCCAAACATTCAATGTCTCCACCCTCTACATGCAGACACTGAACTTTACTCATAGAGATTCATTGATTCAATTCATCTCTTTGAGGAGATGCTGATTGGCCAGGGCTGTGTTTGAATCTGGCTCTGCCCCTGATCTGCCTCTTTGTCAGTCTCAGCCAATCCTATGGCATTATGATTGGATCAGGCCACCACTTCTGCCGATGTGAGCAGGCAGTGGGCAGGTCTAAAGGAAACAGGGATAAAGTAAGCAGCTATAGACTTGAATACAAGTAATATTTTACTATTTTTAGGGAGACGTGAGGGGACCAGGGTGGCTAGATGGTTTTAACCCTATAGGGTCAGGAATACATGTGTGTGTTCCTGACCCTATAGTGTTCCTTTAACACAATATGGCCATATTATGGAACTGAACCCCCATATGTATTTGCTAAGATAGGTGATTTTAATTAGCCTTTTTAAATGTAAAACTGTATTTTGTAAATGTTTCGGTCTTTACAGCAGCACCAGAAGTGCATGTTCTAGGTGTACCCCAATTTCCATTTTTTTATTGTAAGATATTGCTAAATTTGTCTTATCTTCGTTGGTATTGAAACCTTTCTCTGGTTGTGATAATGGTACAACCTTGTTACATATCAGTGATCATGTTGAAGAAAAATATATGAAAGAACCAATACGTTTAATGATGTTTTCAACTTATTAACATTGGAACTGATAAATAACATTCTTCATTGACTTAATGGCCCTTAGATATATGTTGGTTCAATAAATCAGACAAACATATAATTACATATATGCACGTTCAATAGAGCACACAAACATAATTAGTACAATAAACCATTGCACATAAAAGTGAACACTTTAAATATTGCTTTCAAATTGTGCAAAGAATGCAAAAGCAAAGTAATATTATCCAGTAAAACTCAGTATATAGTATATATATCACTATACAGTAAAAAGGATTATTCAGTATATATTTCATTAAACAGTAAAAAAAATCATTATATATAAATGTTCTGATATACTCAGCAACTCGAACACACGTTTGACATTATTCTATATTACGTCGGTATCAACATTTTTTTATGAGACTTTTAAGCAAGGTTCTTTGTTTTTTTCTGTCTCTGTCATCTGTCCTTCCTTTGAATTATCGTTGTAGAGCTTAAAGGACACTCTAATTAACTGTGTTGAAATAATTTGACAAAAAAAAGCCCAAGACATAAAATTGGAAAATGGCGCCTGTGGACTTTCAGCAACATATCTACGACACTGAGCTGTAATGATGGCTTAAGCTGTAGTGGCTGGTTTGTTTAAAGGGACACTGTAGGCACTATAATTATTTAAATTGATTGAATTGGCTGTAGATATTGCAGTCCTGTGGTGCTGTCCCTCCATCCAGTGTTACACCATTTTCAAGCAGTTACCGGAGGTGTGGCTAAGGCAGAGATACCCACTTCCCTAGAGATACCAATTTATACCAGCAGTGGGCGTTGTGAAAGTTTTAAGTAATTAGCGGAAACAGTCTTCCAATCACATCCACCCATTGCTTCTCAGGCTAATACTCAATTAGCCTAAGTAGCACAGAGGGGATGGGCTGCTGAGGACTCTCGTTTACAAATGGTTAACCGCGGAATGGAGGGACGACACCAGCAGACTCCAGACACTATAACCACTAAACATGTGCAAGTATTCGTTTTAAGCGATTCATCTAAATTAAATTACTAGCAATCGTCAAATGAATCAATTGCGAGATTTCAGTCAGTTCACAAACAAACCAAATCAGAATCATACCAATTAAAACCCTTTTTACGTTTTTTTCGAAGGATGTTGATTTGGAAGATTCTGATCTTATATGAAGTAACGGATTGTTCGGAATTGATTAATTTGACGATTTGCTAGAATTTTTATCAAATTCGAATCACATTTTATTAAAACAAATTTTTGCACATGTCTACTAATCACTTCTTTGAGATGAATCACTTACTGTCCCTACAGTGTCCCTTTAACATTTCTGTACCCCTGGAGCCTTCCTTGACTTGAGAAATTTCTCGATTTGGTAATGCCAAATCTGTATTATGGTAAAAAACTAAAAAATTAAGAACTAGGTAGATTGGAGAAAAGAATTAGATACAGATAAAAAAAAACCAAAAAAACAACATTGTTTAAAAATCCCGTAAGTGTTCAACAGTGATTTTTAATGACACCAGAAAACATAATTGACATAATTTTATTATACAGAACACTACTCTGTTGTACCGCCTCTCTCCTCTCTTTTTTGACACAATCTAAGATGTTTTGGTTGTGCCTGTTTGTTTATTTATTAACATTGCAAGCCAGGCTACGCTGAGTCTGCTGCCATGCGATTCCGTTTATTAGAATCTTCATGTTGCTGCATGCATGCAGCATTATGTGTGCTTGGATTGCCAGATACCCGAACACACAGGAACCCATGTAGAGCATCAAAGTGTGATGACATCGAGGAGGTGTCTTTCTACTTTCTCATCCACAGTACTAAACTTAGTTAACTTTCACAGTGTTGAATGTCTGAGGAATAGTTACTTTCAGCAAAATCTGCAAATGCAGAGAAACCTAACTGAATCTTGACAGTCCGGCTTACTTGCTATCATGATGGAACTCATGCGTCCAGGTTGACAGCCCCATAGAGTAGAGATGTTTTGTTTAAAAGGACACTACAGTCACCATTACCACCACAGCTTAATTTAGTGGTTGTGGTGAGTATAGTCAGTCCCTGAAGGCTTTCTTTTGTAAACACTGCTTTTTCAGAGAAAAGGCAGTGTTTACATTGCAGCCTAGGGACACCTGTACTGGCAGTCACTCAGATAGCTACTTTAGATGCTTCCTGTGTCAGTGCTGCAAAATGTGCAGCACTGACATTCAGCATCTCCACACTCTGCATGAAGGCGCTGAACTTTTCCCATAGAGATGCAAAAATGCATTGATTCAATGCATCTCTATGAGGAGATGCTGATTGGCTCAGTTCGCCGTTTCGCTGCATGAATTCCTATGAATTTCCCTGGGGACAAAACAGTTATTTAGATGTATAGTGTCAGGAATACATGTTTGTATTCCTGACACTCTAGTTTTCCTTTAATATAATATTTTACAACTCATCAGACCAGTGTGAAATATTGCAGCATAAGGGCTAAAACATTAAATCTAGATTTTAATAAAATGTAATTGTGAAATTAAAAGCATATTCTAAGCAACAAAATCACTTCATCCTAATAAAGTGGTTTTGGTGCATAGACTCTGTCCCTTTTTTTCTGGCAATATAAACAATTCTGAGAAACAGTAATTTTCTAATTTGTCCGATTGACAGTCACTAGAGGCACTTCCTCAAGAAGGTTATTTCCCATAGAAAAGCATTAGATTCAGTACTTCTCTCTTCTCTAAAAGATGCATCTAATTGGTGGAGCACGGCGACTGCCACACCATGCGCTATGGGCCCCCAATGTTTCACTGGTAGTTTTGGCCCAAGATCATCTGTCAGGCAATCCAGCTCATCCAGTCTCCTCCAGGTGGCTACTTCTGCTCTTCTGAGATAATCCTGATGAAGATCATAAATCAGGATAATCTCCGAAAAGAAGGAGCTATGGCTACCAGGAGAAGACTGGCTGATGTTGGATTACCGATACATTTAATGGTGTTTTACCTGACAGGGACACTATATGTGAAGGAACACTATAACAATAAATATATACATTTTTCATGTTAGCATGTTTCTTGATGCCATTGTACATGAAACAGCTGTTTTGTCCCAAGTTGCAACTTATTCATCCTTTGTTTCAAAAACAATCACAATGAAGTGGCTATGGTGCGTGTAGTCTCCTGGCACCATCTTACCGTTGAGTGTTAAACTGTTTAAGAGTGCTTTATAAACACATAAGAAGTGTCCCCAGGCATCGGTCTGCTGCTTCACCTCTCCTGCTCAGCTAATGCGGAATTCGTTTGAGCAGACCGGCAGAAGATGAGAAGCAGATGATCAGAGACCGGGACACTTCTCCAGTGTTATCAATGTGAAATTGGTTTAACATTGAAATGTAAGACAGCGCCATCGGGCTCCAGGCATTGTAACCTCTTTCATTAAAGTGGTTATGGTGCCTGGAGTGCTCTTTTTATGGAACAAAGCACACATGCCATAATACAATCTCCTGAAATGTATGTTTTTTTTTATCTATGCTTTGCCATTATATGGCCACTAGTATTAGTTGCTCACTAGTTTTGTATGGTCTCACACAGAGGTAAGAGTCACACAGCAACCTCAATTATGTGTTTCGGCCACTTGTAGGCTTCATCAGTGAGGTTCACCTGCTATCTGTGGACACTAGACTTGCACATTTAGTTTCAAACGAACTGTGCTTCGTGCAAATTGTGGGCGATCGGCCGGTCGTGACCTTTTCGTAACTCGGAAATAAATCATGAACAAATGATGGGCAGTTTATTTTAAATCATGATTCAGAGTTCCGTCTAATAAAAAAGATGTTTGCTATGAAAAAAGATGATTGATGGCTAGAGCACAGTCACTATATATTGATTATAATCAGTAAATCAAGTGAGAAGTGACCATCTAAATAGTTTTTCCTGAAACGATTGCAGTTCGAGACGAAACAACACATGGACGAAACAAAATCGACTGAAACTAGTTTTTTTTTTTTTGCCAAATTGATTTGACTGAACCAATTTTTTTGGCCTTGCATATGTCTAGAGAAAACTGAGTCTTTGTAAAAATTGTGCTTTTTTTTGCACAATATATTGATAACATATTCTGCTCTATATTATGCCATCATGTTGTATTTGTGTGTCTCATTATTTCAGTCTTGTTGTTATAGCTCTGTTAGGCTTTACAATTTTCAGTTTTGCAATTTTTTTTATTTTATTTTACTCTTTATTTTTTTGAGGCATGTGATTATGGTGGTACAGAAAAAAAGAGAGGGAGACTTGCAAGAGTTGTACAGATTAGGTTCATCGTAACAGATTACAGAATTCTCCTAGGATTGTCAACATTATTTTATATTATATTAACAAGCGTAAACCATAGATAGATATCAGGTAGGGTATGCGCTAGGCAATGTACATTTTTTATAAAATAGGTACATAGATAAGGCTATATGCAGGCACTATATTCAGTTTTCGCTTTTTACTGGATACATGCTTTAAGCACAATTGGTATGTTTAAGTGATAGGAATAGCATGCTTCAACATAGTGGGCAGAGAAGCTAGTTTATATCAAACACATCCCATTGTGATTTGTAGTTAATAGAGCAGTAGGCTATGATGCACTAGCAGTGAGTAATAGTGAAGACTAGGCTAGACGTGTATATCACAGTGGGGGTTGTACTTCAGTTTCGAACTGTATGGCTTTGCGTTTACTAAATAATAAACATTTGTACTTCACTAAATAGGTTAAACATAACAACCCTGCGCTTTGCAAGTATTAGGAACTGCTAGCAAGGGGGTAGACGTAACAATATTTATGTGGATTGAAAAATCAAGCTGGTGAACTCCGCTCGGGTTCCGCCGGTAGTCCATCACGTTCCACGGGTCCTGCCCGCCGGAGGCAATAGACTGTCAGGCATGCTGAGTCTTCTGGGCCTGTGGTTTCCTCGCCTCCGACCCGGGTGGAGAGTTAGTGAGGGAGGATCTGGCATATACCACGTCGCCGGCCCCCGGGCTCCACATGAGCCGACCATCTGTGCCCACGGTTCCGGTTCCATGGCTGGCCGGTAACGGGATGACTGGTAAGTGTGGTGAGTCCAGGTGTTGGGCTTCGGTATGAGGAGTGCCCTCAGGGGCTCGAGGCCCAGGAAGGCAGTCGTGGAGGCCAGATCCAAGCCTGGGGTGAGGTGTGATGGGGGTGCCCTCCAGTGTTGTCCCGAGTCGGGGGCGAATGCTTCCATTCGCAGTGCTGCCCGGAGATGGAGAGTGTAGTTGGGCTTTGAGGCCGCCATCTTGCAGACAGGGCTCACTTCTTCCGGCGCCCGTGTTTCGCTGGGGAGTTTGTGGAGGGTCGGCTCCCGCCAGTGGAGACTGGGATAACCCCCCCGGTCCAAGGGGGGGGGAGCGGGGCCTGTGAGGCACGTTACAGGGTCTTGGCTCGGCGATCAGGTTTGCCGGCAGGGCGGCGGCCGTCCGCCCCTCGGTTCACCCGTGCAGGCCGCAGGCCCCGAAGTCTCGTGCCATGTGGTCCCCGAAACTCCCGATCTCGGAGTCTGCTGCGGCGCTCGCCAGTTCCCGTGCACATTAGTGGTTTTCTTCTCCCAGTTGTCTGTGGTGAGGCCATTATTTCTTCCGTTTTAGGTTAGAGTCAGCAGGAGCCTCTGTAGCATGCGACCGGACAGCATGGCGGTCAGGCCCCGCCCCCCCAGTTTTGCAATTTTTAACAAAATTATTTTTGTTTTATTTGTGCTCCAAGTAACGCTATATCTTTTTTTTAAATTCTGTGTACGAGGTATGCGCACAATACCGATTTCATTACCTATTTTGCCATTTATCATGACTCATCTCTTGAACTTTAAAATTAGATTCCTTCCACAATATGGAATATAGCCGAGCAGCCTCACTGAGCAACTAATACATTTTACAATGAGCAGCAGAGTATAGAACATGTATGGTTCTGTCTTCAGTTTTCAACTTTAGCGTTCAGCTGTGTCCACTTTTAGAAAGCCGAAATTCTCAGCAGACAGCTCATCTAAAATATCACAGAAAATGGTAAATATGGATTTATGCAATAATTATGTCACAAATAATTATATTATATAATAATATATATAAATATATGCCGTGCGGATATGACATGGCACGTTGTCTCTGGAGCCTCCTGGGGCCATTGGTTTTCTAATGCAACAATTGGTCTCCTTAGTCCAGGCAGTGTTTTGCACTGGCAGGGACACAAGGTCGAGCCATCACAGGGGTGTTTGGCCTGACCCTGTGCTAGGATTGATTGCCTGCCAGTTGTTTACTGTAGTCTCTAATTCCAGCGGTTTAAGCCAATGCGGGAGAGCTGGCAGAGTGTGGCTTGAAGGGTCAGAATTAACTCAACATAAAATTAGTACGTTGTTCAGTCATTTTATGTTTACTGCTTCAATGTTGCATTGTCCAATCATTGTAATTTGTCCTAATATTAAAGGGACACTCTATTGCCCAAATAAAAAAATAAAATAATAAAATAAAAGAAAGCAAAACACTGTTTAGTGGATATATGCTAATGAAAACATGCATGCATTTAATTGTGCATTTTTTCATTGGTGGTATATCTAAAAACAGCTTGCAAAAGCTGCAGATCTCTTTTTTGAAGCCTTCACAAGCCCTCCCTTTCTAATCCGGCCCAGACTGTCCAATCACAGGCTTCCCAATGTAGCTCAATGAAAGGGCCTTTGTAAGGTAGGTGCTCTGGGCAATTGCTGCCTCTTGAGTTTAGCTCCACTGAGCTAACGAAACCTGGAAGCAACCAGTTGTCTGATTGAAAGGTGTGTAGGTGTGTGTGTGGGTGGGGGGGTTAATTTAAACAAGGTTAAATTATAAAAGTGGCAATTTCTATTGAAGTCTCCACTTTTTCTAGAATTAAAAAAGGACACCTTCAACGCAAGTGCGTTACATGTTTGGAGTGTTCCTTTAAAGGAACACTATAAACTTGTATTCCTTACACTATAGTATCCCTGTCCCTAGCTCTACATTGGTCCCCCATCTTTTGCACTAAAAAAAAGCACCTTTTTTCAGTGCAGTATCTCCCTTGGCACTTCTTACCTTTCTGTCTCCCATGTCGTCATTGAGGAGGCATGACCTCCTCCGTGATGGTCCACTCCAAAGAGGGACAGGACCGATGCACCCAGACCACTTTATTAAAATGAAGTGGACTGGCTGACTATGGTGTCCCTTTAAGTATTCTGACCCTTGGCCTGTTTTTGCACCGTGACTGTGGTTTGTCCCTGTGTTTCTTGCTCAGACAGTTTGTTTTTGACTGTGTCCCCTGGCTTGACCGGAACCTGAACTTTTGTCACCTGTACACGGACTCATGGACTGACTTTGGACTACCCCTCCAGATTCTTTCCTGTTCTTAAATTACAGTATTAATATTAAGTTGAACTAACCAACTAAACATATAATTATACCTTTAGATTCCTGTGATGCAGACTGACTTCAAGTATTCAGGATAATGAGCTATAAGGTGAAAAAGAAAGGTGTTTTTAAAAACTCAAATATTTTATTTATATGTTTTTTGTTGTACTGCGTTAACAATGCAATTCTCTCCCCCCCATCCCCATCCCCATCCCATGCTCAAAAGTGGAATATGATCTACAATATGACATTTGGAGATGAAATCTTTTACAGACACCACCCGGAATGTCTGCCTCGGTGTTGTACCTTAAGTGTAAATTTTTACTTTTTGGCAGTTATCCATGACCTCCTAGATATTTGTGGCCTACATCCTGATGATGCTTAGCGGGCCTACATACTCACAAATTCTTAGGGCGCAAGGATAGTTATAGGAAACCTAGAAACTGAGACTCATTATGGAATCGTAACATACCTGCTTTAAGAATACGACCCTTAAAAATAATTCAGAATTTTCTCAAACGCGTCATTGCTGCTGTTCACAAAATCCCTTGTTCTCGCCCTGATTTTTTTAATCTCTTCATTTTGCTGAAGTTTTTCTTCTTCCTATGTGTGAAATAAACAAGTATATAAATATTTCAAAATATATTATTATATAAATATAAAATAACTATTTTTAGGTAATTCGGGTATGAAAGAAGTGTAATACAATCTAAATCATGGCCAGATAGATAGATACCTCATCGCTCAGGTCATGTGGATAAAAATAGACTTCTGATTTTCTAACACCATTCTTTGCTAATTCAGGTAAAGTCTTGGCAATTAGGCACATTGTTTCCTCTTCATAAGCAAACACACGCCCGTCTTCAGCCACCAGGACTACCTGCTGAATCCCAGAGCACATGCTTGAATAGTTCTCACTGATTCCCAGAACTTCCATCTTTGTCTGTTTGGGCAAGTAGAGACTTTGCCAAGAGTCCAACATGTATGTCTGTCCCATGTACGCAGTGCCATTCAGATCACACACCAGTAAAGATAGTTGGGTTTCCTTTGGAAGTCTTAATATTTTGCCCTTATTTTTCTGCACATATTGAGAGATTGCATCGAGGTCACCAGCTGAAAAAGAAAAAATTGAGCGGAGATCTAGGCTGTCACAAAGCAATCTACAACAATTTTAACAATTAAACATTTACATTTCAATATCAGCATTTCTTAAAATCTGGCAGCTTCACATTAAGCTTTAACATCTACTTAGGCAACAAATACATTAATTTATCATAGTGATAGATTATATGTCAATGCATAAAGAGATCTTTTTAAATACTTACCTCTTGGGGACATTCCCCTCAAGATTCCGACATGCTGGCTTCACTTCAAGCTGGTGACTGAACGGAGTGACTTACATCACTCTTTTCCTGTTCCTTTCTAATAAGTACTAAATGCAATTGTCAGAGGAATACCAAAGGAACTAATGTGCATGCGCTTAAGTTACTGAGTAGAAGAACCATCTGTAGAAGGGTTCGTCTGCTGTCTTCTGCCACTCCATCCTTAGCCTTCATGGAGGCATGTGCTGACTATGTTGAATAATAATATCACCCCTTCCCCCCTCCCAAAAAAACCAACAACATTTTCTATCAGTTAAGCTAGCACAAATCAGTGTGTGTCAAGGTATATATGTGTTGTGTGTCAGTGTATATATACATGTCATTGTGTGTATCTGTGTGCCAATGTGTGCATGTATTTTGTAAGTATGTGGCATTGTATGTGTGTGTATAGGTAAAATGTATGGATGAAATTTGATGAATTTACATTTAATAATCTTGTGTGTACCATGACAGGTACAATTGAAATAAGCAGCAATATTTTACTCACAGCTTGACGCACTACTTAAATTTACATTTCCATGGGATTGGCGCCTACCAACTCATACACCATCAATGGAACTTCCCCTGGTGCAGCCCCATTGGGGCACCCTACACTTAGGAGACCCAATAAGTGGCCCATGCACCTAGGGCCACCCCATAAGTATTTCTGAACAAAGACCCAGTTGGGTGCAGCAGCCCTTAACAGCATGAGCGGGTCCCTGTAATATTGGCAATGCTGGTAAAGAAGTGAGAGCAGGTCACTTCCTCTCAGCTACATATAGAGCACCGTGCGGTGATGCCCAGAAATGAGGAGGCACAGATTGGGGGAGGAGGCCGGAGATCAAGGAGATAATCTGCGCCATCCCTACACTTCTATTAGCCTCATCCAGCAGCAGGACCCCAAAGAAGCCATCCTCCTGCACACAAAAGGTATGTTGCATGTATGTACTAGTGTGCATCTTTGTGTGTCAGTGTGTGTATCTATAGGTCAGTTTGTCTGTATGTGTCAGTTGTGTATTTACGTGTCAGTGTGTGTATATGTGTGCATCTTTGTGTCAGTGTGTGTGTATCTTTGTAGGTATTTATGTATGTGGCAGTGTACGTGTATGTGTCAGTTGTGTATTTATGTGTCAGTGTGTATATATGTGTATCTTTGTGTCAGTGTGTATGTGTCAGTGTCTGTATCAGTGTGTATGTGTGTGTCAGTGTATGTGTATCTTTGTTGGTATGTATGTGGCACTGTATGTGTATATGTGCATACATCCTAGCAATCAAACAGCAATACTACATGCAAACACACCTTTGCAAACAAACACAAATATTACATAAAAAACAGACACCTTTAGTCAAATTTATATACATACAAACCCCTTCGTTCAAACACCATTACTACACACAAATGTACACCAGCATTTAAAACACTATATATAAACACATACTAAATGCCAGACACACATAGATACCAATACACACTTCCAGACGGACACATACACTGACAAACATATACACATGAAGACAGACATGCACAAACATACACACACACACTGCCAGATACAGACTGACACACGCTGACAGACACAAATACACACGAACAGAAACACATACAATTTAAATATGTTTTAGCCACCTCCTCTTTGTCTACCTTTTCTCAGGAGGATGGCGTCTCTGCTGTCCAACGGTGATGCAGTGCTGGCTCCGAACTGTGCCGAGTTCTCCCTCTCCTCCTGATGGACTTCTTTTGAGTGCTGAGAGGAAGTGATGGACACCACTTACTCCCAAGGCGGACAGGCTCAAGATGAATGGGGAGAGGCTGTACTTTTATGGACCAGTGCTGTCACAGATCCGCAATACAGTTTGGTCCATAACAGGATCATATAACATTACAGAGCCACTGTAGGCTCCAGAGCATGGCCAGGCCCTGCTGGGGACTTTACTGACAACTACAGCTGGTTGGTGAATATTCTTGATTTTTCTTAGCCAAGAGTGACTGGACACAAAGTCAGGATTTTATTGCCTGGGGACTTCTTCATTGTGTGACAGTGTGGCTATACATGGTATATGTGTTGTATAGGACGCCAAGAAGACAGGACAACATCAAAACAGAACACATAGAATGGTGTAGGTAGATTGAAATAGCCTTGTACATCAGATGCTTGTCCTACCACTCACATTTATGTATTCTGTTGTTTAGTAAATATATTATATATTAAGTCACAGTGTAAGCGTACTGAATAGAAGAACTTATATCATTATAGTCACTGGTCCCGGAAATCAGGGGAGCGTACATGGGCGAGGGACACTGAGACGGTTAGGGAGATTTACCAAAAGGTTTTGTTCTAAAAAAATGGTCTAAAGTACGTAAATTACTTAAATTACCATGGAAACCAGTAGAATTGGTGCCTGCTCCCCTTTTACATTTTTGGACCACTTCAAACACAACGTTTTGATAAATCCCATCTCCCTCATGTTTCTATTTATCCTCCTCCAATGCAATGTGTGCTCTGGCTGTTTAATACAACCAGCAAGTATCGCAAATTATAGGTGATTAATCTAAACAAAAATAATAATCACTCACGGTTCACTGAAAGTTTCTTCATCAGTTCTTCCTCATCTTCCAGAGAATTGTCCCCATTGCATTTGCGCTTTCTGAAATAATTTTTTCTAATCAAAAGAATATAAAGTGTTATATACTTAATTTTTGTCAGTCTCCTTAAAAGAATACCCTAAGCACAATAACAATGTCATTTAACTCAGGTTGTTATAGTGCCTTGGCGTCCTAGTACCTTGGCACCGTACCTTAAGGGGTTAAACCGTTTATAAAATGTTCAAACCCAAAGTTGTGCGATGTAGTCCATTCACCCAGTTCCTCATCTTCTGATCAGTCACTAGCTTCCCACCAAGAACACAGCGAGAAAGATACCTGTCCACACTGACACTGAGGACTTGACCAGAAGAAGACGAGTTGCATGGACAAGCAATGTGGTTAAACTGTTTATAAATTGTTTAACTCCTTAAGGTAACACAGCATCCAGAACCTTCCGATAACATTACAAATTCACTGAGATGAAGCTGTTATGGTGCCTAGAGTGAGCTTTTAATTTATTTATTTTCTTTCTCAAATAGTTTTATGAATACTAACCCTGGGAAGAATGGATTTCTGTCATCATTGGATATTGTGCACATTTGTACATAAACAACATTATCTGACATTCTTCTTGAAAATGTTTGTGTTCCTGTGCGTCTGGTAGGAAGCGTCTGTATTCAAGGAAACTGTGAAAGAAAAACAAAACAAAATGTTAAATACTTAATGTTAGAGGATTATAAATAGACTAAAACATAGACTAGCATGTTTCAAAAATGTTAAAATTCACAGGGTTGTTTACTAAAGTGAGAATTCAAATTGAATTTTCGAGTGAATTTCAAATTGAATTTCAAAGTAGCTGAAATTAAAGCATAGGTGACAGAGAAATAGAAAATATTGACGCTATGGAGAGCGTAGTCCAGTATCATCACCCTTTGAGGGTTCAAGGCTTCCAATACTTCCAATACTCTTTACCAGGGGTCCTTAAACTCCTACCCCCCCAGATGTTGCTGAACTACAACTCCCATGATTCTTTGAATTACATAGATAGCCAGAGAATCATGGAAGTTGTAGTTCAGCAACATCTGGGGGGCCGGAGTTTGAGGACCCCTGCTCTTTACAATCGTGGCTTGGCGAGATCAGAGGTTTCCACACTGTATTAGCTGTTCCATACATTGGTCTACCCAAGGCAACCTATTTCTAGGCATATTGATTTACCTGTTACTACAAGATGTCATGTTTATCAATACAATATATGAATATGTTTCATAAAGGATACAGCACAGATACAATATTCTCCTTTACAATCCACAGTATAAAAAAATAACTTTTACAAAGATAATATCACCATGAAGTCTTTAATGTAGCCCAAAACCAGCGTCTCGGTACGTTCAAATGTAGAAAGCAGCCATTAAACTTTCAATGTGCCTTAATGGGATACTATCTGCACACATACTCTCTTTAAAGTTTTTGAGCTTATTACGAAGTCTTGTAGAAAGTGGCTGGTAACAACCCCCCAAATAGTTTACACTGCTTTGGCTTCTAAACGCTGTTATGGGCACAGGGATATTAAGGTATCAATGCTGCTCTCTACTCGTGCACCTTATGCCAAGTGGCATTTACAATTACAATTCTTTATATAGCTCAAACACATTCCACAGATCTGTACAATAATCTACATAATGGAACAGTAAGTGAAAAGGCGACCTCTAGATTTGGATCCCTCCATCTGTGATGGAGTCTGGAGGCCAGAGCAGTATTATCCATTACGGAGGGGTAACCAGCCACTTAGCCATACATGTCCCTTTTGTAATGTGCTTTCTGCGAGTCTTAGAAATAAGCTGAAAACTATACATTGTAAGATTAATATTGTATTGTATGTGTGCAGTCTTCCTTTAACAGACACTAACACGTATGACGTTCTGTGTCACTTCTGCTTAAGGCTCATTGAGAGTTTAATAACTGCTTTCTGCGTAACAAATAAACATGACTATAAATGGCGCGTGAAGCAGATACTAAAACGAAAGCTATCGGTCTGCAACAGCTATAATATGAAAATATATGTACTCATGTCACTCATGTTAAGCATCCCCACACCCTGTTAGAAATGCTTTATACAAAATCTAAATGGAAAATTTCAATTCACGTTGAATTCCTGACAATGAACACTTTACTGACTAACCCTGTATAGAGCGCGGTTACAATATATAACAATGTATATATAGTATTTCCAATGGATATCAAACATTTTATATAGTTAGCTTCCAAGTCAATGCTACTCATTTTATTAACCTTGGAAAAATAGAAAGATTTAAGGCTGACAGGGTTAGTTACCAAAGTGAATTTCATATTTTAGACAAATATAGCTAACTTGGAGAATTTTTCTAAATCAGGTCTTTTGGCCTTAAATTGGAAATTCCCATCAATTCTCACTTTAGTAAATAACTCTGTGAGTTTATGTTGATCTCTATTAAATGAGGAAGTTAACCTCTTTCCTACCATATGGACACCCTTATTGTTGACATTTAACTACTTGGTTTCAAGAAAGAGTCACTATAATAACGAACCCTTTCAGTGCCAAAATACATGCCTATTAGTGACATTGATTTAACCCCTTCACCGGCAGACAGACATTTCGCATAACTGTGTTATTCCGGACTTTCTTGGCCAGAAAGGCGGACACACTATTAGTGGCATTAACCTCTTCTGTCCCAGAAAGAGGAACTCCTAGTGGGGAATATAACTCCCGTCCCTGGAAGAGTAAGACCCGCCAGATGTGAAGTTTAACCCTATCCCCACCAAAAAGACAGAGTCCTAACTGGTGTATTTCCTGGCTCAGAGAATAAGATCTTGGAGTTCAATCCCTTCACTAATGTTCCTGAACTGTGGTTTGTATCCCATTCCTCACTGCAGAGAAACAGCCAGGGAAACAGACCCCGGTGATATGTAAACCCTTTCCTTACAATAGGAACAACCACTGCCCTAGGCATGTCAGAAATACAGAAACATTTTACCCTTTCCACACCTCATTCTCTCCTTCCCTCTCTCTCTCTTTTTCTCTCTCTCTGTCTCTTTCTCTCTCTCTCTTTCTCTCCCTCCTCTTTCTCTCTCTTTCTCTTTCTCCCTCTCTCTCTTTCTCCCTCTCTCTGTCTCCCTCTCTCTCTCTGTCTCCCTCTCTCCCTCTCTCTGTCTCCCTCTCTTTCTATCTCTTTCTCCCTCTCTCTCTCTCTAAATTGGTTCCTACCTTGTCTGGGAGTTAGAGTGTCGGTGTCTGTGATGCCTCAGTGTCTGAACAGTTTAGATTACTCACGCTGTAACAACTGAAGACACTGGGATTTATTCACTAAACAGTAAACTGTGGCGAATTGCAAACCAAACTGCAAAATTTCGGCTAAAACTAGTCAAACTATGACTATAGTGGAAATGGAAATGATTCCTTTCCAACTATTTTGGCCGAAATTTTGAAGTTTGGTTACCAGTTTGCTAAAGTTCACTGTTTAAGTGAATAAACCCTGTGGCTCTGTACAGACTCTGCTCACTGCGTTGGAAATTCTGTTCTCTGAATACACCCAAAATGTTTGTTAAGCTATGAATACACCCAGTCACGTGACAGTAATGATAACGTGCCTACGTAAATGGAAATGTAGGGAGGGGAAGAATAGAATGTGCTGCAGACCGATGGAGGAAGTGTGATACATACACAGAAAATTCTATTCACTAACCCGCGTTTAGTCAGACATTCAGCAGAAATTCAGCAGGAGTTTCCAAATTGTAGGTCAAAACAGCCAAACTGAAAACAAAGCCGACTTAGAGGAATTTTCCAATTTTCCTAGTGTGACCTAAAATTTGTAACTTGCTGCTGAATTCAGCGCAATTCACGATTTAGTGAATAAACCGGTTTCCGAAATAAGCGTCTGGGAACTGCAAGGTTGTTCTCAAAATGATCTCTAAATGATTCTCAAAATGATCTCCCCTCGAGAGCCGAGATCTTTCGATGTCCCTGCCAGCTCATTGTAGGACCCCTCACAGCCAGGGCCGTAGCTCCAGTCCCCTGTCTGAGCCTGGACCAGAGGCGGCTGTCTGAGCCGCGTTATGGGTAATCCTTCTCTGTCCATCCGATTTGATGCAGACTGCAATCTCCCTCGAAGGCCGAGCACTGAGATCTTTCGATCTCCGTGTCGGCTCAGTGTAGGACCCCGCACAGGCAGGGTCGTAGCTCCAGTTCCCTGTCTGAGCCTGGGCCGTAGGCGGCTATCTGAGCCGCGTTATGGGTAATCCTTTTCTGTTATTCACTTTGTTTCAAGTTCTACAAAACTGAAATCTAAAGGCAAAATGAATGCTAAAAAAGCCAGACTTCCAACTGAAGACATTTTCAAGGTCAACTATTTCAGCCTAAATAATGCCATTTATATTTCAATTCCCTACAACTTGGATTTTAGTGAACAACCTCGTCACTATACTCTCTTTTTTTAATTCACTGCAAGTTATTGCTCTAGTAAGAGGAACATTGCAAATCTCAGAACAATAGCCATGTGGCTACTTACACTTCCAACAACTATCAGGCTGCTGGAACACGGAGTACATTTATAATCCCTCCATCGGCCCGATCGGAAATGACTACAAAGTCCCTGAATTCAACGATAACACCTGAGATTGGACACAACATTTAAGAGTCATCTAAGTGAAAGGTCCTCACCTCTTTCTAAATGACAGAACTAATGGATTGCAGAATTTCTGCAATTGATTAGTTAGGTTTGTGTGCTGCAGTGAACCAGATACTTTATAGGACAATATGCTATATTCCAAAGACAGAGGGCAATGCATAGAACTAAGTGCTCAGAGCACTTTGAGTGTGTTACAACTGCACTTCCATAAGTTATTTGCAAAGATTGCTGTTTGCACTGTACATGAGTTGTGTAAGGGCACTTTATTTATTGCACTTTATAATTATATGTAGCACTATAAAGTTACATATTACACTTTATAAATCAAATGTGTGAAGTCACAGATTTTAAAATAATTTAAGTCTTAAAGACACAGCGCACCTTAGGAGGTCTGATGTTAAAGGGACACTCCAGGCACGCAGACCACTTCTGCCCATTGGAGTGGTCTGGGTACTAACTCCCACTACCCTTAACCCTGCAACTATAAATATTGCAGTTTTCATAAACTGCAATATTTACATTGCAGGGTTAACTAGACAGCCACAAGAGGACACTTCTTGGTTTATAGCACATATTTTCTGTGCTATAGCGTCGCTGGACGTCCTCACGCTATGTGAGGACCTCCAGTGTCGCTGAAATCCCCATAGGAAAGCATTTTTAAAGCTTTCCTCCCCCGCCGGCGTCCACTGGATGACGTCGGTGGGGAGGGGGGTGGGTGGACCCTGAACCAGCGCCGAGGTACATCGGCGCTGGAAACAGGTAAGTCACTGAAGGGGTTTTAACCCCTTCAGCAACCTGGGATGGGGGGTGGGAGGGAGAGGGGACCTGCAGTGCCAGGAAAACTGATTTTTTTCATGGCACGGGAGTGTCCCTTTAAGTAGACCTTGTGCATTTGGTTTAGTCTAAATTGCAGTTGGGATGAATTTGGACTGATTCGGCTGTTTGGACGAATTCTGAATCTCCTG